TATGAAATACCAATTTTTATTAGTAAATAAAATAAATTTTTATAAAAAAGGAGACAGTATAATGTTGATATCCATAATATCTTATTGATTTTTGATTTTTAATCATCCATGATAGTATGATACTTATGTATTTTGTTTTTAAAATTTATTTTAGATAAATTCCATTGAAAATTGATCATGACTTGCAACTGTGTGGAAGCTCCTGTTTCTCCATTGTTTGGTGTTCAAACTTTATTTGCTGCTCAACATACTACAGAGTCTTGTGRTGCTAACGGATTACCATTAACTCCCAATTCTATTACAATTTTAGGATATGCTCAAAAACTAAGGACCTTAGATCATCCAAATTTAGTATTACATTTGGACTTTATTCGGAAACAACATGGACGCATCATTTTAGTCTCTCAATATTTCAATCGATCTYTATGGACTGAATCAAAAAACTATTCGTTACTAATACCGTTAGAAAAAGTACTTAGTTGGACTCATAGGGTTTTGTCTGCTTTATCTTATTTAAAYGATAATGGTTTAGTGCATCGGTTTTTAACTCCACAATACATATTATTAGATGATGAAGATAATGTTAAACTATTTAACTATGGGATTTATTATATGACAAATAGTGGTAAAAATATTACTTTTCCCATTGGGAAACTAAAATATACTGCGCCTGAAGTGTTAGTTCTTGATAGAGCTTCAAATAAATCTGGTCCTAAAACAGATTCTTGGTCATTGGGTATTATTGTTTTAGAATTGTTGCTGGGAGCACAATTATGGCCAACACTCAAGCTCAGTCAGATAATTCGGAAAATATTATCTTTAACACATTGTACAGATGTTGTGATGAGACTTGCTCGTGAAATGGGCCGTTTGACAATGTATCAATCACTACCCAGTGAATTGAAAGACTTTCTCAGTAAATGCATTTGTATAGATGTTACTAAAAGAATGTGCCCAAAAGAGTTATTTGATCATAAGATATTTTCTCTTTTTGAGTACTCAAAAATATTAACAAATAAATGTTATTCATGTAAACACCCATTGCGTCAAATGAAACTGAACCAAGTTTATTATTTGTGGAAACTAGCTGGTGGAGATGTTGAATGGGCATTAAAAAAAAAAGGTTTATTAAGAAATGAATCGTCTATTTTACTTATACCGCGACTGATCATCCTTGAAGGAACATTGTATGGTAATACACGTAACCAAAGTTATTTATTAGACTTACAGATAATTGAGCTATCTTTAGACTTATTGGTGAATAGGCTTCAACATCTCAAAATAACAGATTATGATCCATTAATTGATCAAATTAAAGAATACAATGATACTACTGACAAGTTACCATTAGTTATTCGTGAAAAAGACACTGAATATCAGTTTCATCGAATTGTCTTATTTGATCGTTTGTTATCTTCCTATCCTTACAAGTTGGATAAATTACTCACCGAAGCTAAGAAAGATATTCCACCATATTTCAGAGGAGAAATTTGGGCATGTTTGTTGAATGTTTGCGGTGATACAGAAAACACTTATTTGTCTATAGATAAAGAAACTGCTGGTGTAACAGATAGACAAATCGAAGTTGATATACCAAGATGCCATCAGTACAATGATCTACTATCGTCTTCCGTAGCTCATAAAAAGTTGAAAAGAGTCTTAAAAGCGTGGCTTGTTAGTCATCCTAAATATGTTTATTGGCAAGGTTTAGATTCACTATGTGCCCCATTTGTTTATTTAAACTTTTGTAAAGAACATGTAGCCTATGCTTGTTTAACAGCRTTTGTAAAAAAATATTTAAATGATGTGTTTTTACGAGACAACTCTGCTGTGATCCGGGAATATTTAATAAAATTATTTCATTTAATTGCATTTCATGACCCACAACTAGCAAATCACTTGGATGATAAAGGTTTCATACCAGATTTATTTGCTATACCTTGGTTTTTAACAATGTTCTCTCATGTGTTTCCCATGCATAAAATTTTTCACCTWTGGGATAAACTTTTATTAGGTGATTCGTCATATCCATTATTTGTAGGACTATCAATCCTTTCCCAGTTACGTAGTACATTATTGAATTCTGGGTTTAATGAGTGTATATTATTGTTTTCAGACCTACCAGAAGTGGATATAGAGAAGTGTGTTTTAGAATCATCTAAGTTTAATGATGTAACACCAAGGTCAATAACATTTAGAAAATATGAGTTGAGAACTGAAACACGAGAGCATGATCCATGTTTATGCTATGAGGTATTGCAAAATGAATTTAGTCCTAGGATTAGTGTTTATGATTTACAAGAATTAAAAACGTCAWGTCATAAATTTTTGGTCGTAGATGCTAGAGCACACGAATCTTACATAGAAAAGAGTATACCGGGTAGTTTAAATATTCCTATWAAGGAAGAAGATTTTACAGATGAAAATTTTGATTTAGCGCCTTGTCCAGAATTAAGTGCTTTAGTCAATAATAGAGGTAGTGTATTAGTAGTGGTCGACAATGWATATGAATTGGGTAAAGTTAGAAAGTTTTGTAGATTTTTGGTGAAAAAAGAATACCCAAAAGTATGCAGTTTACATGGAGGTATAGAGGCATTAGAAACTTTTAATATTTTAGTACCTGCTATACTGTTTTGATTCAGTATAGAAACATTATTTTTATTTTAGTTAAAAATTGAATTGCAATTATAACTGTTATTATTTTTATAGTATTAAGTTTTAAATTTTTAATGTATTATAATATTATAAACTTGGTACCTATAAATGCAGATTTTAATCATAACATTTAGAATTATAAATGTATTATTTCAAATAATATTATTGTATGTTTATTTGTTTTATACYGATTGTATATTTATATCCCTTAARAACATATATTTGTACTCTTAAATATTATTTTTGTATCAAATAATTAAATTAATCAATTAACACTTAAAAATAACTTATGTATTTTGTATTTTTGTATGTATAATAATTATTAATATAGGTACCTATTAAAATATATTAAAATATCTCTTGTCATTATCATCAACATTTTCAATAATTGCACTTAAAGCTGAAAACTCTAAAATAATATTT